AGTCAGGAATACTTACCACTACACCACAACCATCAGGGTTCTCACTATCAAATTTCCCTACAGAGTTAGAGTCAAATCATAGTTTTTGTCCACAAAGGCCTAGTTTCCCTTTTTCCCAAATAAATTCCTACGGTTAAAATTCTCAATAATCGATTTAGGCCATGAAGACCAAAAATCCCTTTTTCTCATTATTCGCCTCAAAACTCTTAAACCTTAAATCAACCTTAAATACACTGAAAGTCACACATGGAAAATTATGAAAGGCTATACTCCCCATATCTTAGTTGCCGATCAAAGCCTTCTCGATCTTTCAGGGAATCTCTCGAAGTTTCTGCCTCCAATCTTCTCCTCAGAGCTTTGCCTTTTCACGGTTAACAAAATGAATCCTAATTTCCTTCAGAATTCCTTTTTGTCGAACCTAGTCTTGGGTCACACAATTGGCATTTTCCCATAACACCCTTACTAACTCCTCTTAATGTCCAAATTACCCTTATTTCACTTATATTTATTTTAACTAATAATAATACTAATATTTTCATATTGTATACTATTAATTAAATAAAATAATCCAAAAACCCATAATTCCCAATATTCCACAAAACCACCGAAAACCACCAAAATACGAATATTCTCAATTAAATAAATTAAATAAAATATTTCAATTAAATTTGGTGTGTTACAGTACTCACATATGATAAGCTTCTAACTTATAAAGTGACATAGTGCTTCTATATATCTTGTGACTGTTGGAGCAAAGGGACTTTTATATTTGGAAACCAAGCGGGTTCATAGATGTTAAGTTATTATGCACTTTGAACTCTAATTGAGTTGTACTAGTAATAACTTCTAATTAGTTAACCACTATATCTAGTAGACTTTTTGCAAATGAACTTCTTTCTTGGTAGAATAATATAGTAAAAAATCAAAGTTGAGGAACATCCATATTTTAATGAATAATAAACAAATGATTATGGAAAAAGATGAATCATTAACTTGGCATTGCATAAATATAACACAAATTACTTTCTAAATTCTAAGTTTAACTAACTAGGCTTTGGATGTATCATCCAGGATCCTCCATTTTGGAAAACGTTTGTAGATAGTAGAAAAATATATGAATCCATCCATTTGGTCTCTCATTATATGATTTTGAAATCATGATATGACTTTATTGTTGTATTTTTCTATTATAGGAATTAAAATTCATTATAAGTTGTGTTGACTACATAGTTTATTATTTTTTCTGGTGGCAATAGTTTTGTAGTCTTCAAAATACAGGTGCCGCTGGGATTTTTTATTATGTAGCTGGGAGTCACTATAATCACCATTTTCTCCAAGTAAAGGCTCTATTTTTAAATCTCAAAAACATTCAAAATTTACTCTACATTATTAGAAGTTTCTTAGTAATATATTTTCGAATTAACCAAAGATCAATACATAGTTTAAAATAATGGAATTACTTATGTATACTTATTTTTCAATGTATGAAAGTGATTCTTTTGTAGGCTTTTTCAGTAATAATTTTTTTCATTATTTTTTTTTTTGTGTATATATGTATTTGGTATGCATGTTATGTTGAGTTTGTGTGCCTAGTTTATTAGTCTCGAGTATTTTTGTCTAAGTAGTGATTATTCTATAGGTTGTATTTTTCATGATATTCTTGCTATACATTAAGGAGTTCATTGTTGTATTTGAGATTGTTGTTGCTGTTGCAACTAGAATTTTTAAGTGAGCCGATGAACATCATAATTGCCTTGCAACTTGTGCTTAGGAATTCATAAGGTAGTCTTGCACATGGCTTTCACGAAGGTGCAAAAGTAATTGAGAAGCACGCAAAATAGCATTTTATTCTCGCAGAAGACTGTGACCAACCTAACTAAACTCAGTCAGATGCTACATCTTTCGTTTAAATATTTTCCTTGATAAATTGTATACATGATTGGTTTCTATTATGTTATTATTTTCAGGATGAATTTCTTGAGTAACATTCTTAGAGTGGAAGGTGGTTTCAATTACAAAAAAGAAATTGATGATTCAATAATGAATTCTTACTAGAGATATCTTGGGTGCTAAAGAAACTGGGTTGCTTCATCTGTTAGTTCATTGAAGACTGAATTCACTTACTTGTTAACACAAGTGATAACTTTGGTTTTGATTTGTCCTATACTTTATGTGCTATTGGAATTTTACCTTTTATTTTGTTAATTTTCCCCATTATACCTTAGATGCTACGCTTCATTTGAATTGAAAGACCAAAAACATTGGACCCAATCAAATATATTTGTTATGTTTATAACAAAGTACATCTTGATAATGCGATTGTTAGGGCCAGTACTGTGAGCACATTGGCCAAATTTGGCACTTGTGTTGCATTAAACGTGTTATTCATGTTTTGGTTTTCAAACCATAAGATTTCAAAGATGGTTTGGGATGTGGTGTTTGTCTTTGTGATGTTGTTGAAGAAGAAAAAGCTAGAATTTTACAAAATTGCAATCATGGATTTCATTTAGATTGTATTGATATGTGGTTTCAATCTTATTCCACTTGTCTTTTTTATAGAAATTTAGTTTCTAATGAATCCTTTAAACAAAATAGTACTTCAAATGTTGAAGAGATTAATGTGTTACTTTCATCAGAAAGTGAAAATTTGATTCCTACGAATGGTTTAGAGTCTTCAAATTTTCCTACAAATTTTTTGCTTTGGGATAATTGCGAAACACAAATATAGGTTAGTTCTTTTGGTGGTTCTTTTGATGGATAGAAAAATCATCATGACTTGAATATTAGTCAATTTTATGTGATTTAAATGAAATTGAATTATTTGCATTCCAAGAAAGAGAGATATACATAGTTTAACTAATCAATTTGTTTTTGTAGTCACAGAAGAAGCAGTAAAGGACATCGATACTGTTAAGAACATGGGAGCTATCAAACATAGTAACAACAAACTAGTTTCTTTCAAGATGGCTCCAAGAAAATCTCATAGGTAATGCATACTCTTTGTTTATGCACTTATGTTAATGGTTCACATCAAACATAGTAACAACAAACTATTTTATTTCAACTATCAAGTAGTAGTTTGTATTCTTTGAAATTGAAACTGAACTTTGTTGAGCCTTGAAACTGAATTTTTTCATTGTTGAACCTTGAAATTGAAATTAAATGTTGTTGTCATTGTTTAACCTTGAATGTGTCACATCAATAACAAATCTCAGAATAATGATGAAAGTAGAGAAATATAGTAAAACTCAAATTTACCGGTGGTTATGCCATTCCTTGCATTCACAAGTCCTTGATCAACAAAACAATCAAGAATTTAACTCTTTGCTTTTAATTTCAGTACAAGTCCATGATTACATAAATAAATTAAATATGGTTTGTTTTTTACTATGACTTTACTTGAAATGCTGATCACAGAAAGGAAGATATGGAAGAAGTTACACTGGATAAAGACATAGGTGGAACACATTTAAGGTGGGAGTGGAGTCGGTGTTGTGTTGGATGTTGTGTGGCTCAATTTGTTGAAGCATGTGAAGCAAATGAAAATTTAATTTATGTTTATTAGTGGACATTAATTATGTTGAAGGTTCTAAGCATGTATTTATGTTGTTAAAGTATGAATGTTTTCTATGGACAGAGATGTTGATTGAAAAAGTAAATTTGAGTATTGAATTGGATTGTGTTTCTAATTTAAAAATTTATGAGTACTAGAATGATCTTAAATTATTTGTTCCTCCTATAAGGAACCAATACAAGTCAATGCAAATTTATTGACGAGTACAATGCTTTCTCAATTTAAGAAACAAACTTTTTTTAATTTTATAAATATATTAGTTGTAGAATTACCTACGGATGGAAATACCTACAGTTATCTTTGAATATTGAGGAGTAAGAAAAACAAAGGTTTTTAATGGCGGTTGTAACCGCCACAATTTGCAATTTATGTCAGTTGACAACTTAGAACAACAGTTGGAGTGGCAGTTTTAGGAACCATCCCGATACAGCCTGGCCACGCACGTATTCACGGCATAAACAAAACCATTGTTACTAGCAATTTGTAGCGGTTCAAACCGCTATAATCTGCCAAACTTGACCGTCGCAACTTGCCAATTTTCTTGAAGTGACATAATTTTTTCTAAAAATTTAAAAATAATTTGTAGGTTCGAAAAATAAAAAAGTAGATTTGTTTTTCAAAAATAAAAAAAATTCTAAAAATAAAGTATATTTAAAAAAAACATTCTGAAAATAAAAAATACTTTTTATTTAGAAAACACCTTTTTTTTAAAATAGAAACAAAATTTTGAAAATGAAAAAATCCTTCCCAAAAAATAAAATAAAAAAATTTCTAAAAAATAAACAAGTTTCTCAATTTTTTTCCTGAAAAATAAAAAAAATACAAAAATATTTTTTTCCAAATCATAAAAATAAACATTTTTCTAAAAAAAATTATTTTTTTATTCCAGAAAATAAAGAATATAAGTTTTTTTTGAAAATAAATATTTTTTTAAATATTAACACAAATTTTGATTTTTTTTAATTTAATGTTTTTTTATGAAATAAAAAAAATTAATTTTAAAAATGTTCAAAATATAAAATTGGTTTATAATTGCAAACTGATTCTAAACTAGTTTTAAATTAAATTGGAACCATTTTAGCAAGTAATTGCATTTTTATTGAAGTGGTTATTGCAAACTGAACCGAACCTAAATATGGTTGGGTTCAGTGTAGTTCATGAACCATGAACACCCCCTAGTTTGGACAACCACAAGGAAGTGTAAATGATATGTAAAATAAGATGGCCCAAGAGATCAGAAAAGTGGCTAAAGAGACGTTAAGCGAATCAAGAGGTTTTGGACTGAGGATAAAGAATCATAGTGGTCGAATGAAAGTTTCTAGAGTAAAGTTAGAGGAAAAAATATCGTTTTAAAGTTTAGTCTAGGTGTAAAAATGTTGAAACATGGGAAAAATACAATAAAGTTAAGAATGAGACCAAAAAGACGATGAGTGAAGTGAGAATCCAAGCTTTTGACGAATTATACCAATCTCTGAGAACCATTGAGGGAGAAAATGCTATATATAGGTTTGTTAAGGGAAGAAAAAGAAAGACTAGAGATTTGGATCAAGTGAAGTGTGCTAAAGATGAAGAAGAAAATGCCTTGGTCCAGGAAAAGGATATAAAGGATAGGTGGAAGACATATTTAAATAACCTATTTAATGAAGGAGATATCGCACCTGACTCTAGCAGGCTCAACATTAGAGAAGCATATCAAAATTATAATAACTATCGTCAAATCCAGAAATAGGAGGTAAAGGAAGCGTTGGAAAGAATAAGTAACAATAAGATGGTTAGACTAGACAACATGCCTATTGAATAGTGAAAAATTCTTGGAAATATAGGTATTGAGTGGATCACCAAACTCTTTAATGAAATTATAAGGTCAAAGCTCATGCCGAAAGAAGGAAGAAGAAACACCTTAGTTCAAATCTATAAGAACAAGGGGGATTGGGAAATTGTTATTGAATGTAGATTGAGAAAAGATACTCAATTCTCTGGGAATCAATTTAGTTTTATGCTTGTAAGGTCAACCATGGAATCAATTTATTTATTACGGTGTGTGATAGAGCAGTATCAAATGGACCGACAAGACATACGCTTAATTTTTATGGAGTTGGAGAAAACATATGATAAAGTGCCTAAATAGATTTCGCTGAAAGCTCTAGAGAAGAAAGGGGTTAAGATTGCATATATTCAAGCTATCCAAGATATGTATTAAGGAGTATCGACTAGTGTGCGTACATAAGGTGGAAAGAAAGATGATTTTTCCCATTACAATTGGTCTTCATTAAGGTTCAATCCTAAGCCATTATGTTTTTACTTTAATTTTGGGTGTACTCGCAAAACACATCCAAGAGCTAGCACTGAGATAAATGTTTTTTGCAGATGATACAGTTCTTCTTAGACAGACAAAAGAGGATTTAAATGAAACTTTGAAAACTTGGAGACGAGCTTTAGAAATGCATGATTTTTGCCTAAGTATAAGTAAGACAATGTATATGGAATGTAATTTCAACAAAAAAAGAAGTGTTTCTAACATAGAGGTGAAAGTTGGAGACTATATTATCTTTCAAGTAACACAATTTAAATATCTTTGGTCCATAATACAAAATAATGGAGAAATAGACAGGGGAAATAAACCATTAAATTCAAGCAGGGTGGTTGAAATAGAGAAGGGCATCAGGTGTTTTATGTGATGCAAAAGGGGAATGTGTTATCGGGCTGCGATAAGATCTGCAATTTTGTACATGACAGAATGTTAGGTGGTTAAAAATCAACATGAGAATAAAGTAAGTATAGCAGAGATAAATATGCTGCAGTGGATGTATGGTAAGAATCGACATGATAGAATTAGAAATGAAAATATCAGAGAGAGTGTCACTGTAACGCCTATAGTGGCGAAGATACTGGAAAATAGAATTAGGTGGTTTGAGCATGTTGAGAGAATACCAGTAGATTACTTGGTAAGGAGGGTAGAACAGATGGAGAGAAGAAAAATAATTAGAGGAATGAGAAAACCTAGAAAGACTATCAAAGAAGTTATTAAGAAAGATCTCGAGATTGATGATTTGGATATAGACATGGTCCTTGATATATTATGGTGAAAGTTGATCCATGTAACTGACCCCACTTGGTGGGATGAGACTTAGTCGTTGTTGTTATTGTTATAGACTAATGATCAATAATCCCTACTCATATAATTTCACTTTGCACGTTCATTAACACATAAAGAGCATTAAGAACAAAAATAATTGAATAATAATTATAAAATTAAAACATTCAAATAACATCAAACAATCGTATAATCCAATAGAGCAAAATCAAGTTCATCTTCTAAGATCTAATCAAGAAACATTTAGCTACTCATAGTGTAACAATGAATTACCATAAGTTGACATTAGAAGAACATGGAAATCAATGAGTAAATATCTCTCCAATGGCTCCAAAGCACTCCAAAATCGCACTAAAAAAATTCATTTGTCGTCACTCTCTCCTAAAAATTCAGAACCCATTTCCTCCTATAAATAGCAAAAAATGTGCCGCAGAAAAAGCAATCCATCGCGACTGGGATATTGGCGATCGTGGTTCCATTTTCCCAGTCGCTAGATCACTTTTTAAAATTTCTTTTGCAAAATTTCTCGTCTCAATCCGAGTTACGAAACTCCATATATGATCAAATTACTGGATAAACATTATGATGTAAATTATGCTGAGAAATGCTCGTTTCTTCATAATTTCTTCACGATTTCTCGGTTTTGCTTTGTTTTCTCAAATTCTTCACTTTCTTGCTATTTCTTCTTCACTTTAGTTCATATTTTTCTTAAAAATAACTCGATTACATCGCAAATACTCGTAAGTATCATGTAATGATAGATTATCATCAATAAATTTCTAAACTGATGTTAACTGTTTCGGTTTATCCATTAGTCTCAAGATGATATGTGTCGTACCCCAATTTTGTCCAAGCATTCTAAATTCATCTTATACATGTCCATTTGTCAAATTTTATATTTTTAGTCATATGCATTTTTTATCATCAAATAAAATCACCATAATCATACATTTTTGCATTATAGTAAACAAGTCAACATAAAATCAATATTTTACATGTTGAAGAAATTGACTAAAATTGCATTTTTAGCATTTAAAAAAATGAATAAATTCATGATCATTTAATTTATCATCAAAATATCCATTTGAATTTTGTTAATCATTTTCTTGCATCATAAAACAAAAATCAATGTTTCTAGAAGGTCCAAAATGTCTCTCATTTATTACATCATTATTCCATGCATATATTACATCATTATTCACTATTTAATTAAATAAGTTTCTAGAAGACACTCACACTCTTTGCATAATTCATAAACTATTCTTTTTAGATCCTATAAATAAAACCCTTCTCATTCGCAAATCTCACCACCAATCTTTCACTAAACTAAGTCAAAACTCTCCATTTTTCTCTTCATTTTCTTTCAAGTTATACCTTTCTTTTTAATGAATAGGTATGATCTTATGCTTGTTCTTTATTTAATTCTATTGCATTTTTACTCTTTATTTATTTAGTACCTTGATCATCACCATTTTGCAAGAAAACCTAATTGATTTTAAATCAAAAGTCAAAAAATGGTCTTGAACCTGCATAAACAAAAGTGATTTGTTTTTTTTAATGGCTCTTATGCTTGTTTTCTATTTAATTCTATTGCATTTTTACTTTTGCTTTATTTATTTAGTACCTTAATCATCACCATTTTGTATGGAAACTCAATTGAATTAGTTGAAAAGTGTTCTTGAACCTCCATGAGAAAAACTGATTAAATGTGATTTAATTTTCTTTTATTTAATTTTCTTTGCATTTTTATTCTTGTTGCACTTAATTAATATATTAAGCACCACTATTTTTTATGAAAACTCCATTGATTCAAAATCGAGAGTTTAAAGTGTTCTTGAACCTCCATGAACAAAAAGGGTAAAGTGTAAATTGATGTTTGTTTTACATAAATAATGTATTCAATAACTTCCTAACATCACCCTGAGAATGAATTCATGGTTCGTTTGTCATGACGGTGACTAAAATGACCGAATCAAGCAAATATGTGCTGCTGCATTTTGTCGATTTTCAAATTTCTGTTGTTGTTTAATTGTTGATTCTAAACATGTCATTGTATTCGTGAGATCGAGTAGACAAATTTTCATTATTTATTTGCTTAATTCTTGAAAAAATTGAGAAGGTTATGATATTTTTTACGTTTTTATTGGAACTTTTTCTTCCATTTTTGTTGCTACGGGAATAGTAACCAAAGGGGGAGTTAGGGAAGATGAAATCTCTCCACAACCCTTAATTGCTCAGCACACCCCCGTGTAGTCCCCCTTCTTTGGTTTATTTATTTATTTTTGTGTGTTTTTATTTCCTTTACTTTTTTAATTCTTTTACCTCTTATATTGATAGTGTGCCCCTCCCTTTTATTATTTCTTTTATTATTATTACTTTATTTTATTTATTTTATATATTTTAATTGATACATGATTGTTAATTCAAAAGATAAAATGATCTTTAAAATTATCCTTTCAAAATTACTAAAATAAAAGGTGTTTGATCAACATCAAGTACATTTTTTAAAATCACACTAAACCTATTTCTTTAATAAGCACCCCATTTCATTTCAAATCATTTTCATGTTTCATTTTCAATAAGCGAAACCCTTGGTCCAATGCCAAATGGATTCTTTTTCTCAAACCAATATGTTTCGATTCAATTCGAATTCAAACCTTTTTTAAGCCACTTTCATAATAAAAACTTAAGAAACTCATTTTCATAACAACTTAGATGAAAAAGGAAGGACGGTGTAGACCTTCTTCTTTCCCGAATGGTTAGGCAATATGGTAGAGTTATATGTCTGAACGTTCGTCTTCCATATTAAAACACAATAATTACTTGAATTGAGTTTGGTTCTCTTATAGAAGAAAAAGGAAGGATGGTGTAGACCTCTCCCTTCCCGATTATTTGGGCAACGTTGTAGAGCTTCCTATGTGAATAATCGTCTTCCTTGCAATGAACCTCAACTTAAATCGTCACACAATTTTTATAATCATTGAGAAGAAAAAAGAAGGATGGTGTAGACTTTCCTCTTCCTCGAATATTTAGGCAATGTTATAGAGCTCTATGTCTGAATACTCATCTTCCGCCTAAGACATACTCAACACATCCAAACTGAAATTTTCTTGCACTTGCAATTCATGATGTGGAATCTGATGTTCCACCATCAGGGTATAATGTTAGGGCAGATGTTGTAACATCGGCAGACTGACAGAACAATTTATCCAACCATTTAAGTTATGCAAAATTTTAAATGCAGAAAGATAAATAATACAATGGATTGTTAACCCAGTTTGGTGCAACATCACCTGCATTTAGGGGCTACCAAGCCAGGAAGGAAATCCACTATCAGTAGTATTAATTCAGAACTAAACTCCCCTAATTACAACTCCTCACTTAATCCCTAATTAGTGCAACTTATACCTAGGAACTCCTAGACATGAGAAATCACAATCTCACTCCCAATCACCGCAGTGATAAACAAACACTCCCAGTCCTAGGGAGTGCCACAAGAAACCAAAAAGAAAGATGTACCCTCTTTCTTTCAAGAAAAATACTAGGTTAAGACTCTTGACCAAGAACAATACTCAATTTTTCTTAAAAGCTTCAACCAAGAATAATACTTAACTCCTATGCTTAAAAGCTTTAGA